TCAGCTGATGCCTTCAGCACTGCACTCTTGAGCCACCCCTTCCCAAAAGCTGTAGTGGTGCAGGGGTGCCTGTGCCGTTTGCTGATCAGACACCAGCCCCATGGCAATGCAGGGAAATATCCCACCCCCACCTTGAAGACAAGGAGTACCCCGCTGACTTGGATGGAGGTCACCGATCCCACAGGGAATTTGGGAAGGGAAGGAGCCACCTGCTGAAAGCCTGACTCCAGCCGCCAGGTCACTGGCAAGTTGAGGTTGGTTTTTGTGTGGGGCTGGTTCAGTGCGTTTTCCTGGCGGTGATTTGTAACAGTTCTGCAAGACACAGTCCCAGTGAGAAGTGCTGAGCTCAGCCTTTCGGAGCCCAGCAGTCAGCAGATACCTCGTGGAATGCGGCTTTAATTGTTTGTTTATTTTGCTTTATTCGCTTAGTTATTCATTTTGCTCTTGGCGGATGCAAGAGCCAAGGGAGAGTGGAGCAGCTCACGGGGCTGGAAGAGGGATGGGGAGGAGCAGGGCCTTGCAGAAAACAGGAGATTGCTCATCATACATCGTAATGCACTTTAATTCCTCTATGGGACAGAGTAGGCAGGAGGAACAAAACATCCTCTGAGGCACCATGTAGCCAACCGAAAATATTCTATTCTATTCTATTCTATTCTATTCTATTCGCTGTATTAAATATTAAAAGGAGGACCAGCGGCAGACCTGACTGTTGCTGACCTTGGACTGCCCAGCCCAAAGCGAAGGTGGGCGGCTCTCTGCGGGCCGATGCATGGCCAGGGGGTTCTCCTCCCTGGAGGTGAGGGGGTTAGGGACCAGCACAGCATTTATGGCAGACTCTGTACGCTTTGGGGTTATATGGTCTTGTCTGCTGCTCGTTTCCCAGTCAATTAGTAACATTCACCAGGCAGTGGGCAGGCTGAGGAAGTCTCCCTCGTTCTGTGGAATTGGGTTCTTCTCCCATGGTGGTGAACCCACCTTGCACAGGTGACAACGGGCACTGTAGAGCCTCTCCTGCCCCTCTGCCGCCAAATGCCCCATGGGGTTTGCACTGAGGATCTCACTTATGCCCTGCAGATGTGGGTATCACTGGGCAGCAGTGAGCCAGCCTGGGAGGATGCAGAACGCTGCCTTGCTCTGCCAGGCCTAAGGCTCCCACCCCAAAACGCACAGCTCCCACCAAACTGTTCACGTGCTGGGAGATGATGGGCTGGATCCTAGCCGCTGGTGAAAATATGGCCCTTAATTCCCATTTTCAGGAATGTCAAAGCAAGTCATGCTGTTTCAAAGGATCTTTCTGGACTCCAAAACTCGCCCTGGTCTTGTTGCTGTGGTTGGTGTTGCTGTCTGGGGGACACACAGTTGTCACCGTCTAGGTGACAGGTCCAGGGCTTTAGAATGGTGTCTTTTTAACAAATCACCTTAACACGGACAGGGTGACAGCCAGACTACCTGAGTACCTCTGGGCCAGCTGAGTGCTGAGGAAAGTCCAGTTCCTGACATACGCTGGGCAGTGATACCAGCCCCCCTTTCCTCCCATCAGTGGGAGGGCGACCTGGCTGCCAAGGGCAAATCCAGCCTGGAAATTGTCACCAGGAGCGTGTGTTGGGGATTGGTCCTGAGCTCAGGTGGTCCAGCTGGCTTGCTGGAGCAGCCACAGTCAGGATGCAGATATCAATGCAGGGTCGTCCCTCTCTCTGGTCCTTCACTCTCCCTCTCCCCTTTTCTCTCTCATAAGACTTTTTCTTTTACGGTCAGAAATCCCCCAGCCTTTCCTAAGGGGCAAGATAAGGAAAGCCATCAGGGATTCATCTCACGTGGAGCAGCAGCTGGGTGGCTGGATGACCACTGGAGCCCCAAGTCCATGCATTTGAGAGTTGTAGAACACTGGAACAGGTTGCCCAGAGAGGTGGTGGATGCTCCATCCCTGGAGACGTTCAAGGCCCGGTTGGACGAGGCCCTGAGCAACCTGATCTAGTTGGAGATATCCCTGTTCCTTGCAGGGGGGTTGGACTAGATGACCTTTGAAGGTCCCTTCCAGCCCTAACCATTCTATGATTCTATGATTCTATGGTCCCTCAAGTCCAGTACCCACTGTGAGCTCTTGCAGGCAGGAAGGTGATGGGCGCTGAGTTCCCCGGCTGAGCAGCTTCCTTCCCAGGCTCCTTCTGCCCACGTGAGATGCTTGGAGCCATTGGGATACAGGGCCTGCGTCGGCAGCGATGGGACTTCACCAGTGATGGGCTGGAACCAGGGCAACTCCCTGCATGGAGGTCTTGCTCTCTTCCACGTGTTTTCCTCCCTCTCTGCTGAACTCACTTCAAAAGGAGGTTAAATGGTTGAGGATTTAGGCATTCACGGACACATGTGCACACATGAATCTTCCTGGGCTGCAGCAAGGGGAGGGCACTGAGGAAACCCCCATGAACACCCCCAGCTCTGCCACCAGCTGAGTTCATGCACTCGCTGCAGTTTTGCAGCCCTGTAACAAAGTTGGCAATTAAGGCAAAAGAAGAAATTTGCCTTCCTGCCGTCAATCCCTGATCTTTTCTTTTCCCTCTTTTCCTTCCTTTTTTTTTTTCTTTTCCTCCTTGTTGTTATGTTTTTCATTCCAGTTTTCTCCACAGAAAAACTTTCCTCTTTTGAGGCCGTGACAATTACTCTCGGGGCTCCTTGTTGCTGGCGGAGGCCCGGCTCCAGCCCGGGCACGGGGCAGCGGTGGTGAGGAGTTATGATAAAAAAGGAGGATCCTGCAGCCAACTGAGAGCTGCTAAAAGGGAGCCAGAGCTGGGAGCGAGGTGGAAACAGGCTGTGGCAGGGGTTAGCTGGCAGCAGGGAACTGCAGCAAGGTGTCTGCAGGGGGTCTCCTTCCCTTGTAGCTGGAGACAAGGAAGGGAACAGGGAGTGCATGGGAATAGCTTAGCAAACCTGTCTGAGAGCCCAAAATGAAAGCCCAAGTTTCCGGCTGTTTCTCAGCTCTGCTTCATTCCATAGTCTGCCCTGGACTCCAGTGCCGGCAGGAGAGAGCGTGACGTTAGAGAGCGGCACGCGGGCAGGGACAGAGCGTCCCGCGCAGCCAACGGAGCACACCGGAGCGCACCGGAGCACTGCCAGCAGCGAGGCCACCAGCAGGAAAGGTGCTCCTGAGCCAGCAAGAACTGGCCAAATCGCAGACACATTTCGGGAAGGGCCAGCAGAAGCCCTTCTCCCAGGCTGATGGGACAGTTGCATGCGCAGGGTGTGCGGTTGCCGGTGGGGCTCGGTGGCACGGTTTCTCCGAGCTGGGAGATCCCGCAGCCAGCGTAGGTCCCTCGTGATTTGTGTTTTCTTACCTTGCTGGTGGTGTTTCGCACCTGAGGTCTGGCTGGACAGACCTGGGGGTCCAGCCGTGCCGTGGTTAGAGGGCGGTGAGTTTTCAGGGTCATGCCTGCGCTGTTCCCATCGGTGGCCCTGGAGCTCCCTCGCCAGGCAGGAGCGAGCCCGGGGTGCTGCGGTGGGGGGTTGACTCTCCAGAAGGAAGATTGATTGAGCCTTCTCTAGGGGCTTGCCCAGGCATCCTGCTCGACAGCATGCCTCCCAGCTGCCAAATTCCTCTCTTGTGTCTCCTCCCATTCCTCCCGCTCCCAGCATTGCTTTTTCTTCCCCCCAGCTGCATTCAGGTGCTCCCAGGCATAGCTGGGCCACCCCTCCCCTCCATCTGCCCCTTTGATGTGCTGTATCGAGTTGCAAGATTTCGGTTGCTCCTGACCTAGGTGCTTCCCAGCTCTGGCACGTGGCTCAACGACTGTTGCTGGTGCCTGCAGGAGTGAACTGCCACTGCTCAGGCATGCATCGCTCTGCCAGGGCCATGCAGGCTGTTGGGTCTCCTTGGGATGCTTGGTACAGGCAAAAAACGCCGCAATGTGCACCAGCATTTGATAAAATCCAATGACAAGAGGCTGGAAACTGCTCTGCTCAGGTGTCTTCTTCCACAATCAGTCCCACATCCGGTTCCCAGGCACCATAAGCCAATATCCAGATATCCAGCCTCTGTTCCTTGGATGGTGTTTTGGCAAGGGGTGTTAGGAAGCAGGTATTCTAGCTATAACTTGAACATTCTTCCTGTTCATTCTCATGCAGCTGTCATTGTCTTTGCTGTGAAAGACTCAGAATTCACTAAACTTGAACAGGGAGAAAAGGTTGCTCTGGCCTAGCAGCTGGTCTAGGAGCTGAAAAACTTGGTTGCACTGGTCTAGTAGCTGAAAAAACTTGGACAAGTTGCTTAAAAGCTGCTGCCTCAGTTTCCCTGTCTGTAAAATGAGCACAAGGGTGTCGACAGCCATTGTAAAGTACCAAGTGACCCAGACAGGAGTGACCAACACCAGATTAGAACAGATCAGTTTGTTTCCTTCCCTGTAACATGGCCCGTGTTTCCCAGGCTGTGCAGAAGGGACAGTGTCTTGCCATGTGTCGGTGTCCAGTTCAAGGGACTTGACTCAGTGTTGATCAATAAGGAGGGTGCTTGGGTCCTTCCATGGGTCCTTCCACCCAGCAGGCCCATCTGCCTGGGCACCTAGAGCTGTACAGTGGGCCAGGTGCAGGACGGAGGCGTGGGGAGCCTGAGGGTAAGGCAGTTATCCAGGTCCGACTCCCCACGTCTTTCCTCTCTCTCCTTGGCAGCATCATTTGAACCTCTGCTTCTTTCCCAGGGGGTGTGAAAGCCTGTTCCCTCAACTGCCTGGCCGAGGGTTTCAACTTCTACACGGAACGAGCCGCGGCCGTGGTGGATGGTACACTGTGCCGACAGGACTCCAACGACATCTGCGTCAACGGGGAGTGCAAGGTGCTGCCGGCGTCTGGGACGGGCTCGGGGCGGGGAGGCAAGAGCAGACCCCTGGGTAGGGGAGCGCTGCCCTCCACATATCTGCATGGACACGGGCATCCCTCTGCCTGGGCACCCGGCTCACCCGCAGGAGCAGGAGCACATCCACCTCTGGGCTTGTGCCCTTTCGCTCTCCAGGCACCGGGTGCCGCGTTGGTCTGCGTTAGCCATGAGTCTCTGCATTTACAGCCCATGTAGCTCCAGGCACTTGATATTTCCCTTGAAATGGGATCTGGAGGGCTATAAAAGTTTAATTATAAGAAAGCGCTGTGGGAGTGGCCAATGTCCCCCAGCAGGCAGGCAGACAGGCTCCCTCTCTGTCTCTGTCTGTCTCGCTTCCTGTGTCTCTGGGATCTTTTTGTCTCTATGAGGCTGAATATACTGTGGAACAAAAGGGGGATTGCACCATAGGTAGCCACAGCCATGCTGGTTGGTAGCCACAGCCGTGCTGGTGAACCACTTGCCAGCCCACGTACCGTGGCAGCGGGGCAGAGCCGGAGGCTTCTCATGGTCTCGCTACTGCGATGCCGGTGCTGCAGGGACGCAGCTCTCCCTGGGCTGCCGGAGCTCCGCCAGCTCAACGCAGGCACCCTGACCTCTGCCTTATCCCGCAGTCACAGGATTTCTGCTTGTGACCCCTCCAGCCTTGAAGAGAGACACCCCCCAGGTCCGTCCCTGGAGAGGGGTGGCGGAAGGACAGGGCTGGGCAGAGGTGATGTTGCTGAGTGCTGCCTGGTGCACGACGGTGCAATGAAGGGGAGGGAGGTGGAGCCCAGGGGTGGGCTCCCTGGGATGGTGCAGGTCAGGGGTGGGATGGACAAGGCCCCACCAGGATGGCTAATTCCCTGCTGCTCCTTCCTCCAGCATGTGGGCTGTGACCGTGTCCTGGGCTCTGACTCAAAGGAGGACAAGTGTCGCGTGTGTGGGGGAGATGGCAGCTCCTGTGAGACCATTGAGGGCGTCTTCAACCAGTCCCTGCCAGAGGGAGGTAGGGAGCAAGCAGCCTGGCCAGCACAGCTGGTGTCACCCACCCTCGAGTCCCTTCTTGACTTCACCTGCTCCTGGGAATGCTCAGGACAGGCAGGGACACATCCCAGAGAAACACCCCAAAGGGTAGGACCAGGTTGCAAGCAGGGAGCAAATCACTCTGGTTCACCGACTGAGCTGTGTCCCAGCCACCGCTGGCACCCAAGTCCCTGACACAGAGCTCCAAGCTCCTTTCCTCCTCCCCAGCTCATGCTGCCCTCAAGACAGGCTGTGGAGATATCCATGGACATCCCAGCTCTACAGCAGCTCCCCAGCACCTCCGGTCCCATCACGAGAGCCCGCACTGCAAAGCAAGCAAGCCACTGTCCTGGCAGGCCACGGTGCTTTTTCTGTTTAATTGCAGTGTGTGGCTGAACGAACATCTCCGCGCTGCCAGCATCTCCTTTAGTGTTCAACCCATGGGTAACAGGGTGGCACACGCTCCCGTCCGGCCCAGGGCAGGGTTGGCTCCGGGCTCGGAGGCTGAACATCACTGCTCACCAGCCCCGGGTTGTCTCACAGGTTACGAGGAGGTGATCCAGATTCCCAAGGGCTCCGTCCACATTGACATCCGGGAGCTGAACCTCTCCATCAACTACCTAGGTGAGATGGGGCCAGGGAATACAGAAATCCCAGCCAGACACCCCTTGGTCTGCCATGTCCCTGCGGTTAATAGCGTGTGGGAAAGGCTCAGCAAGGAAAAACCTCCCACTGTAGCAGAGGATGGGGCTGGGGTCCCAGCTTGGGGTTGGGGGCAGAGGAAGGGCAGCATGTCCCAGGCCAGCGTGGGCCATATCAGTGTGACCCACACAGCCCCTGTCCTGCCCCAGCGCTGCCTCCGTCCTGCAGCGGCGTACCCCTGAGCAAACCCCACCCCCCGCCATTCCTGGCGTTGTCTGTGGCTCCTTGGCATTCCCCCCTCCACCAGCATGTTGGGCCGGGGATTAAAAATAGACCTGCGCACATTTTCCTTGGGCTTAATTTTCCAGCCAGAGTCTGGTTCGTTTTTACAATGGGTGTTTTTCTTTTGCCTTGTCTTCTCTTTCTGTCCGCCAAGCGATGGATAGTGATCACAGAGGGGTGGACGGGGTGCTGTGGGTATCACTATCAACAGTGATCTTATAGCAGCCTTCCAGTACCCAAAGGGACTATAAGAAAGCTGGAGAGGGACTTTTGACAAGAGTATGTAGTGACAGGACAAGGGGCCATAGTTTGAAACTGAAAGAGGGGAGATTTCGATTAGATCTAAGGCAAAAATTTTCCACGATGAGAGGGGTTGAGACACTGGCACAGGTTGCCCAGAGAAGCCGTGGCTGCCCCATCCCTGGAAGTGTTCAAGGCCAGGTTGGATGAGGCTTTGAGCAACCTGGTGTAGTGGAAGGTGTCCCTGCCCATGTCAAGGGGGCTGGAACTAGATGGTCTTGAAGGTCCCTTCCAACCCAAACCATTCTATGATTCCGTGATTCTATGACCGCTGCCACCAGCCTCTCCCACTCTGGGATCTGTCCCTGCAACTCAGTGGGAGCGGAGGGAGCATCCTCCATCCTCATCAATACGAAGCATCCTCCCTGCCCCAGAGCATCCCGCAATGAGGTCATCGCCAGCAGTGAGGGCGGGAGTGGCACAGAGCTGGACTCTGTTGGTGGCAGAGAACAAGCAGGGAGAGCGTGGGAACAGGAGCAGGAGCGAGCAAGCGAGCCGATCCCCCTCTAGTGACTCGCTTGGGCAACCACAGCCGGGCTCCTGGGGACCAGCCTCCTCCAGTAGCCTCAGCAGCCAAGACCCAGCTTGCCCAGCTAGATTTGAGCCTGGCTTCACGGCCACAGGTTGCCACACTGCCAGGTGTCCCTATCACACCCCCGGGCAGCCGACTGAGCTCCTCGAAGCATCATCCTTCCACAGCGAGGTGGTAAGCGAGCTGAGACAAGACGATGGGTACATTAGTCCCACCTCTGCGAGTGACTTTGTGTGACCCCGACCCAGCCACCCGCTGTATGTGCCCCACCTGTTCCCTCCCTGTACAATGAGCCTGATGTTATTCACCCTCCGGCGTAGCAGCGCTCTGAGCCTGGCAGATGAGAAGCGCCCGGCCGAAACTGGACACGTGTGCCTTCAGCCTTTCTGCTAACCCTTCCTCTCCTGTCCTCGCAGCGCTGAGAGGGGAGGGCGGCGAGTATTACATCAACGGGAAGCTCTCCATCGACCCACCACGGCGCTTTGACATCGCAGGCACGACATTCCACTACAGGAGATCCCCAGAGGAGCCTGAGTCCCTGGAGGCCTTGGGACCCACCAACATCACCCTCTTTGTCATGGTTGGTAACATGGTTCCTTTGTACTCCCACCTGGTCCGGGCTAAAGAGACCTTGCCATGACTACCTGGGAATTGGAGCTAATCAGCCCCTGTTCTTGCTCTCTGGAGTAAAGGGGCACAGAGATCAGAGATATATTGGGCTAAATTCTCAGGTCTCTCTCCATACTCTGCCAGGCTTTGGAACAATTCAATCTTTAAGCACACAGGAGCTTGTTCTCTGATCGTGTCACCTTCACGGCTGCACCACTGTCGTCACTGGTGGCTGCCATGTCAATGCTGGAAGGGACTGGAAAGGGAAGGGGGATTGATTTCAGCTGCCTGGATTTTAGAGAGCGCGCGGAGGTCGTGGGACGCCATCTGGATGGTCACAACCATGCTGGACATCAGTGGCACTGATGCCTCAGTGGTGCCTGTCTCCGCAGGTCCTTGTGCGGACAGAGCTCCAGGGGATCCGGTACAAGTTCAACGCGCCCATCAGCAGGGATGCCTCGAACCAGTATTCCTGGCACTACGCTCCGTGGACAAAATGCTCAGTGCTGTGTGCGGGGGGTGAGGTTTGACCCAATATCAGCTGGGGCGCGACACGTGTCTGCACTCCTGTGACTCTCGCGCTGTGTCTGGGCCACACGAGACAGCACACGGACTTTAGCATCTGCTTTGCTCTGAAGGGGCTCTCAGGTTTCTACGTATTCCCACCCTGCACTCGGCCACGTGCAAGTTGGTGTCAGTCAGCATGATCTCGTGGGCAGAGCATCAGGGTGAACAACCCGGATGCCGTTCTGCGGCTGGACCGCAGGTGTAGGTGGCAGAGGTGATGGAAGGCGGCATGATATGCTTGAAATTCATTTACTTGTGCAAAGCAGGACAGGAAGATGGTTTGAACAGCCCCTCTGGCCTTCAGGGCTACATGTCTGTGAGCTGAAACACCGCTGATGCTTCCCTGAATCCCTCGGGCTGGTTCCCGTGGGGATTGACACAAGGGTTTGTGCCATGTCTCGTGGCTCTGGAGAACCTGGCTACGAGTGACTGAGCTGGTAGTCAGAAGAAGAGAGAAATGGTTTAAAAAGCAAGACTGAGCACTATTCCCTGCTTAAAGCTAAGGGCCCTGACCTGGTCTCGTGTGCTAGGCCTCGACAAAGTGTTGCCACCTCTTGTTCCAGCTATTCCTCCCAGTGCTGCCCAGAAAGTGTCACAAGACCAAGGTTAGAACTGGTTTATTTGAGGTTGAGATCCTTGAAGCACTTTGATCCTCCATCCTTTGAAAACTCTGATGGGTCCTGCCCTGGCTGGTGAGCCTTCATCCCATCCATCTTTTTTTGGAGATGTTAGAGGCAAAGGAGTCCTTGGTTATGATTAGAGAAGTAGGTTCAGGCTTGATGAGGTGCAGTGACGAGTGGCTGCCCTGTCACGTTGCCCACGTAGAAGCAGAGCTGTGGGGCTCGTCCCTGCAGCCCGGCTCAGTGCCAGCCTCAGGGTCCTCCTCCCTTTCCCCCTTGCCTCTTTTTTCTCGGCAGGCAGCCAGATCCAACCTGTGGTATGCAAGAAACTTTCCGATGGCTCGACTGTCTTCAACCATTTCTGTAGCCCTGAAACCAAAATGCCAGAGCGGCAGAGGCCGTGCAATACCGAACCGTGTCCCCCGGCGTGAGTACCGCAGCTTGGAGCAGATCGAGGGAGCGTGGGTGGAAAATCAAGTGTGGAGCAGAGTGAAATTCCCTCCTCTCTGCTATTCCCAATTCAGAGTCCTCTGTCAGAGTCCCCAGGGGTGACACTACCCGGTGGGACCAGGTCTGCTGGGGAGGGGGGACGGTTTGCTTCTCTGTGCCCCATCATGGGCACAACACAACGCGCAACCCGCGCAGCCCCTGTGCATCGCTGCGGGGAAGGGGCAGCGGCGATGCAGGAGCAGAAACCTGTGTCCACCGCAGTGGAGACACGAGGTTACACCGTGCCTTGCTCGGTGAAAGACGTGCCGAGCACACGGTGTGTTGGCCAAGGTCGGTCTCTGAAGTGTGACCTCCTCCCTGTGCCGCTACCTGCAGAAAGGAGCCCTCCCCGTATGGTCCTTTGGTGCAGAGCAGACGCTCAACTCAGTCCTTCAGAAGTTGTCCCAGCTCCTCCTTTGCCAGCCCTTGCCCCTGTCTTGAAGGGGAAAGGGCGATGTGGAAGAACTCTGTGGTTCAATCAGAGCTGCCCGGGAGGCTGTAGCCAGAGTAGGAACAGGGACAAGCACGGACCACCATGCCCCTCATGAGCTTTGCTGTTTTACCTGTCCCCAGGTGGGTGATTGGGAACTGGTCTGACTGCAGCCGGAGTTGCAACGAAGGCGTCCGCACACGCAGCGTCTTCTGCAAGCGTAAGATCTCTGCCACTGAGGAGAAGACCTTGGATGATGCTTCTTGCACCCATCCACGGCCAAAGATGCTTGAGCCTTGCAATAACCAGACGTGCCCTCCAGAGTGGGTCGCCCTGGACTGGTCTGAGGTGAGTGCTTAACATCAGCCCTCACCTCTCCGGCATCACTGGTCCTCAGGAGGACAGTGTCAATCACTGGGCCAGAGGATCGGTGATGGCTGCTGGCCATGGAGAGTGTAATGTAGGAAATGGTCTTGTAGCTCAGGAGACAGGCAAGGTGGGAGCGCTGGTGGGGTGAGCTGGTGCTGCCTCTCACGGCTCTTGGCTGTACATCCTGACCACGCGTGTCCTCTCCTGGCAGTGCACCCCAAGCTGCGGGCCAGGCTTCCGCCACCGCATTGTCCTCTGCAAGAGTGGTGACCACAGTGCAACTCTGCCCACCTCCCAGTGCTACGAAGGCTCCAAGCCCCCCACCAGCATGAGGTGCAACCTGCGGCGCTGCCCACCACCACGCTGGGTGACCAGCGAGTGGGGAGAGGTAGGGGTCATCCTTTCCGTGGGGTTATTGAAGGAGAAGACTCTGTCTCCTCCAACTCTCAAATCCTAGTGCACATGGGGCTTTTACCCACCAGCAGAACCCAATGTGGCCGGCCACCACAACTATCTGTGGGGCAGCAGGACTCTGCAGCAGTGTTCTTTGCCCCCCTTGGCTCAAGAGGCCGTTGCGATGGGTGGCCCAAGCGCACGGCTGACCCAGGAACTCTCCTGGGCATAGCAGGGCCCCACGGAAGTCATTGGAGGGCCCCCGTGGGTATCTGCAGGGCAGTGCAGGGAGGCAACAGAGCAGTGCAGTGGGAGCGATGGGCTGCAGAGGTGGGGACTCTGCAGCAGTGTTCTTTGCCCCCCTTGGCTCAAGAGGCCGTTGCGATGGGTGGCCCAAGCGCACGGCTGACCCAGGAACTCTCCTGGGCATAGCAGGGCCCCACGGAAGTCATTGGAGGGCCCCCGTGGGTATCTGCAGGGCAGTGCAGGGAGGCAACAGAGCAGTGCAGTGGGAGCGATGGGCTGCAGAGGTGGGCTGGGCGAGCTGCAAGCAGGGCCACCCCCGGTCCACCTGTGGCCCCCCTGCCACAGCCCAGCCTGGTGCCTGCGGTGGGGCGACACTAACAGTCCTCCCTCCCCACTAACACCCCTCGAGCTGTGGGGTGACATCGGGGCGCAGGAGCGTGGGAAAGCCCAGCGATTTTAGGGCCAAATGGAGAGCGCCCCGCTGAGTCCTGCAGGGTCGAACCAAGCTTTCGGGATGCGAGGCCGCAGCGCTCAGCCGTGCCAGTGAGGTCCCTGCAGCTGCTGGTGAGGGGAGGGACGACTGCCTCCAGCACCCTTGGTACCTCCTACGACCCGGCCGTGCGCTCTCCCGCCGCGTTACTAAAGCCATGGCAGCCACCACAGCTCTGTGCTGTGCTGTTTCCCGGCAGTGCTCTGCGCAGTGTGGCCTTGGCCAGCAGAGAAGATCCGTCCAGTGCCTGGCTCACACTGGGCAGCCGTCCAGCGACTGCGTGGAGACCCTGCAGCCGCCCGGCATGCAGCAGTGCGAGACGAAGTGCGAATCGGGACCTACAGACAACCCCGAAGGTGAGGGAGATGGGGGGACTGGGGAGGGAAAGGTGAAGCCCTGCCAGCCTCGGTGGCCACCCAGCACAGGGACAGCAGAGCCAGCACAGCCCAAGTCAGGCTCTAGATGCTGTGCAGTGGAGTGAGGCTCTTGTGGGGAGACCTGATGCTGTCCCCTCTGGTCAAAGGGGCCAAACTGGCATGCCGTGACCCTGAGAAATCAGGTAACTGCACCTTGGCAAAGAGGGACTTCCAGTAGTGAGGTTCTCAGTAGCTTCTTCAGCACGGCTGCATCTTGCTGCCTCCTGGCAAACAGCCCCCAGGAGCTGGGCATTGGGGTGCAAAAGGAGCTTGCGGAGGGCTGGTTAGAAGAACCCCCAGGGGCTCCTGACCCCCGAGGCAGCTGTAACCTGCTTCCTTCTGTCACCCATCCAGAGTGCAAGGATGTGAACAAGGTGGCCTACTGCCCGCTCGTCCTGAAGTTCAAGTTCTGCAGCCGGACCTACTTCCGACAGATGTGCTGTAAAACGTGCCAGGGGCACTAGGGACACAGTGTGACCCCCGTGGGAAAACTGGAAGGCAAAAGCTACACCGGAGGGCCGCCGAGCCGTGCCCTTCCTCTCCGCCCCGGGAATCTCCCCTGGGTCCAACACAGACACTGGTCGTGCTTCCGGTGGGAGCCGGCGTCACCCAAACCCGTCCCCCAAAGACATGCACCCTTCGCCCCCGAGCTTCACAATGGCAGGGTCTCAGTTAAAACACCGCGGACACGGCCAGGGCCGGGCGCGACGGGAGCCGGTCGATGAGCGGTGGGAGAGGGAGAAGCGGGGCAGAGCGCGGCAGCAGGGACATTACTTGAAATTCTGACATTGTTATTTATTAGTAGCGGACCCAGGTCCTGCAGGCGCCGAGACAGCCACCGAAGCGGCACCACTCGCCCCGTTCCTTCCTCGTCCTGTTCCGTGCCCATGTCCCGAGGGCTTCACGAGGCATCGTGGTCCTCGGTGGGGCATCCCTGGAGAGGCTGAGCGCACCGGGGGCTGCCTTTCCCTCGGGGATCCCAGGGGAGACAGGGAGGAGGTTTCAGGTGCCACAGGTGACAAATGTGGCTTGTGGCTTCTGGGCAACGGACAAAGATGAGCTGCTGTGGGAGCGGGGTTGGAGCAGGAGTGTTGTTTTCTTGGTTTGCATCCTGTCACCTTGGGACACGCAGCAGGGGACAGAGAGCAGGTCACTCAGTGAGCAGAGCGGTGACACCAGTTTAACTGGGAGAGAGGATTATTCAAACTCTCTTAACAACCTACTTTCATGGGGGTGTCCCCCTATTTTTCCTTAAAGTCACTCTGTATGACCATTTTTTTATTCCAGAGACACCTCAAAGCACGAGCTGAGGTCAGGGCCGAGGCATGCTTGGGGTTGCAGTCACTTAATGGGCATCAGGGACATGCCGGGCTGTGGGAAGCAAAGCAAAGGAGGATGCAAGACAAGAAATGTCTTGGTCGCAGTGTCCCCATTGCCAAGCCGTGACTTGGGACCGGTCTGCCTGGTCCTGGCCCTCCCCACTGAATGCCACGGCCTCCACAGCTGCTTTGCCTCCAAAGGTGCTTTATTTCCAAAGGTGCTTTGCCTCTGAAAGGTGCTTTGCCTCCAAAGGCAGCCTCATCGCGTGCTGCTGTGGCCTCTGGGTGCCACTCACCCCTCTACCCTCAGAGACCTCCAGTGATGGGGTAAGAGCAGGCTTGAAATTCCTCCAGGTCACCCCCTGGCCAAATCTGGGCCAACACAGATCTTCTCCATAGTCCACTGCAGCCCGCGGAGAAGACCCGAATATCCAATCTACAACGCATGTTGGCTTTGTTATTATTGTTGTTATTATTATTTTCAGGCCTTTCTGCATCATAGAGATGGGAAATCTTGTCCAAAGCCATGTTCTGTTACCCTTGGCGGTCATCCGTAGGGTGCAGGGAGGGAGACAGCCCTGGTTCCCCAGAGCAGACCGCTCCGCCCTGCCAGCCCTCATGTGTTACTCCACCATCTGTAGTGTCACCTGCTCACCAGCCGATCGCAGCTTCTCTGGTGCTCAGCAAATCCCGTCTGGCTGTCGAGCGGGCATTCGTTTGTCTTCCTTCCTGGTGCAATGCTCCATTCTGACATTTTGGGAGGGGAGGGGGTGTTTTCACCTTTTTATATAGATATATATATAATGAAAAATGTTTAACATACTAACTCTGAGGAGGAGCGACGTAACAGCATGATTTATAATAAAGGAGTAGCTACGATCCCAGGTGCAGCTTCTGGTCCCAGTCTTGTTTCTCAACTGGCAAGCCTGGGCTCTAGGCAGCCCCACGCCACAACACTCCTTGTGCTCACGCTGCAGGAGAGGTTTGAGCAGCAGGGAAGGGTTTTCCCTGCAGCCCAAGTGACTGGCACAGGTTGGAGAAGTGGAGATTCACCCAGAGCTGCTGATGGCACAGGCTTCCCCTTGGCAGACCCTTCACGGGTTGGCTGTGCACCCCAGGGGCACACAGACGCCGTGGTGGTAATGCTGGTTTGGGATTTTAGCGGGGAGTTGTTTGAAGAACTACAACGTCTGTGAACGGAACCACTGATGCTTCCCTGAATCCCTCGGGCTGGTTCCCGTGGGGATTGACACAAGGGTTTGTGCCATGTCTCGGTGGCTCGGGAGAACCAGAGGACAGACTCTTTAGTAGGGCCTGTAGTGATAGGACAAGGGATAATGGTTTTAAACTAAAAGAACGTAGATTCAGATTAGATGTAAGGTAGAAATTTTTGATGCTGAGAGTGGTAAAACACTGGCACGGATTTCCCAGAGAGGTGGAAGATGCCTCATCCCTGGAGACATTCAAGGTCGGGTTGGACAGGGCTCTGAGAAACCTGATTGAGTTGAAGATGTCCCTGCTCATTGCAGGAGATTTGGACTAGATGACCTTTAAAGGTTCCTTCCCACCCAAACCATTCTATGAGTCTATCATTCTAACCTGGCTGCCAGTGACTGAGCTGGTATTCAGAAGAGAGGGGCAGTTTCCAAAGCAAGGCTTAACCGGGTTCCCTATTTCAAGCTAAGGACCCTGCCCTGGTCTCATGTGCTAGACCTCAACAAACGTTGTCCCCCGTCTTGTTCCAGCTATTCCCTCCGGTGCTGCCCAGAAAGTGTCACAAGGCCAAATTAGAACAGGTTTATTCAAGGAGGAGAGATCTCAGGAGCTCTGTGATCCTCTGTCTTCTGCAAACTCTGCTGGTGCGAGCCGTGCCCAGCACAGGGCGCGTGTGGCACCATGGCATAAAAAGCCTGCAGGGAAGAGTAGCCTAAGCAAGCTGGTTAGTGTTCAAGAATCACCTCCTCCAAGCTCAGGAGCGGTTTCCGGAAGGAAATGGGAGACCTGGTTACCTGGGATATAGAATGATCCAACCCACGACTCTATGATTCTGTGTGTATTTGCCATGATGGCCTCTGCAGTGTGTCCTCTTCCCAGCGCCACTGTGCTCCCTGCACGCTGGAACGGGCACGGGAGATTCCCAAAGAATATGTAGGGGGCAGCAGGGCGGCACAGGATGGGGTGGACGAGCCCAGGCAGCACTTGAAGCTCCACCATGTTTCAAGAGAGATTGACAGATGCGTGGAGAATGATGGATCGATGGCCGGGGGACGTGCATGGGTCGGCTGCGATGGGGCCTCAGCTTCCCATCTGCCACATACCTGACCACTGCCGGGCCCACACCAACAGGGTCTTGAGTGAGGCCAGACCTTCTCAGCACGCCTGGAATCGGCATCACAGAACCTGGTTAGGTCGGCTGGAATTGGATTGACCTCCATGGGCTCCTCCTGGTGGTCCAGTGAGCTGACCTCTGTCGGCTTGGTGACACTCTGCAGCTTTGGATCGCCAACTGAAGAGTTTCCACACGTCCTCTTTGGTTTGGCAGCTTTTGTCGTTGCCCTGAGATTGCTTTTGGCAGCTTCGTTGGGCGTTCGGCCACAGCACCCAGAAGCTGGCAATCACTGCCTGAGGCTTCCCCGCTCCTGTCCTGCTCCGCTCGCCGGTGCTGCGGGCACGAGCAGCTGGGCAAGTGGTGGCCAGGGGCAGGGCTGCCTTTTTGTGGGGTGGGGGACAATGGGCAGTGAGAAGGTGGTGTGTGACACCAGGAGGCCATTGCGTTGGTGGCCCAAGCGCATGGCTGACCATGGGTCCCTTTGGCGGTCGGGCACCTGGCCTGAAAGAGCAGAGTGCCCGGGGCTGAGGTGCTCTGCCCCTGCCCAGTCCCACCCAGGTCTCCACATCTCCCGCAGTGTGCTTGGAGAAGAAATTGCCACTCTGGTCTGTAGAAGGTGAAGCAGCCACTGGTTCTGACATGGCCAATTTCCTTCACCGGCCATGGCTGCCCATGATCAGAGAAAACCCTCACAGCCATGGTGGGCTGCCCCAAGCCTGGCATTTGCAGAATTTGCCGTAAATTTCAGATAAGACCCTGTTGGTTGGCAATATACTCTCTGCCAGCCCTGGCCCTGGTAGGAGGCTGAGTGCTCCAGCCAGCACCCTCTGCTCTGCAATGCAGAGGCCAATATATCGGTAAAAAAAATTAAAAAAAAGAGTGTGTGTAAAGTGGCCAAGTGCTGTCCCCACGTGGCATCAGACCTTTCCCTGGAAACCTCCCAGCTTCCCACACACTCCCTTACATCTTGGACTTCAAATCTCTCTGATACCCAGGAAGGATGGGTGCCCTGCCCGGGTGATGGGGCTGGATGGTCGCCCACTCTCTCGGTTACTGGGGTCCGTACCAGGTGCTGGCAGGATGGGCAGAGGGGAGCGCAGCCCCGGGGGGGGCTGTGCAGCAGCTCAGCACTGCCGGGTACGGGCAGCCCTCTCTCTGCTTGCACGTGCATATTTATACATATAAATATATAAAAATGCATATACGAAGTGCTATCACCATATTGATAAACTTTCTTTGGAACCTCGGCCACTGCCGTGCCGGGGGAGCGCAGGGGACATCTCAGGATGGCAGATCTGCAGGTGACAGTGGGGACACGGCGGTGGAGAACTGTGGCTTCCCGCGACAGCACCCTCTTTGCTTCGCCCTCCTGGGTGCTTTCTGCGGGGGGGCTGAGCCGTGCCGAGGAGCCGGGCCGGCGCCGGCGGAGCCTTGGTAGGGCCGGGATGGCTCGGCGCGGTGGGCTCCCTTCTTCAAGCGCAGCCTTGGACCAGCCTTGTGGTGCCATCGCGATGAGCCGGGGCTTGCACGGGTGCGTTTGCACACCGGGGCTGTTGCACGAGGGCAGGTCCGTGTGTGTGCAGGGTTTTCAGGAGTGCCAGCTTTGCAGTCGTGGTGAGACCACCACCAGGGAGCTCCGCTCACATGCCCCACGCAGCTCCAGCGATGGTCTTTCTGAAACAGCCTCGGCCCATTTGTAGGCAAACTGTTTCCTCAAGCGTGGCCTTTTTTATTCAAAAGACCTGAAAAAAAAGCAGCAACCAAAAGCATCTTGCTCCTAAAACAATTTAAAGCAGAGCATCCCCCAGCACCGACT